AACACCCTCGAGCACAAGGGTGTCCACCAGTGCACGTGGCACCAGGACACCCTAGGCCAGAGGTCGACGATCGACTTTGTATCATCTGACCTTCGACCGCGTGTCTCGGACACTCGGGTAAAGAGAGGGGCGGAGCTGTCAACCGATCATCACCTGGTCGTGAGCTGGATCCGCTGGCAGGGGAAGAAGCCGGTCAGACCTGGCAGACCAAAGCGTAGCTGTGGTCGCAAGGTCTCTGGTGCTGGTCCCGGCGGCAACCCCCGAACCCGGTGGTGGACACCGGCAGTAAGGGATGCTGTCAGGCTGAAGAAGGAGTCCTATCGAGCCATGATGGTTCGGGGGACTCCTGAGGCAGCTGTCCAGTACCGGCAGGCCAAGCGTACCGCGGCCCGGGCTGTTGCAGAGGCAAAACCCCGGGACTGGGAGGAGTTTGGAGAGTCCATGGAGCATGACTATCGGTCGGCCTCGAAGAGATTCTGGCAAACCATCCGGCGCCTCAGGAGGGGGAAGCAGTTCTTTGCCAACACCATGTACGGTGCGGGTGGAGAGCTGCTGACCTCGACTGGAGATATTGTCGGGCGGTGGAAGGAATACTTTGAGGTTCTCCTCAATCCCCCTGTCACGTCCTCCATTACAGAGGCTGAGGATGTTGGGGCGGATACATCCATCTCCCTGGCTGAGGTCACCAAGGTGGTTGGCAGCCTCCATGGTGGCAAGGCTCAGGGTGTGGATGAGATCCGTCCTGATTATCTAAAGTCTCTGGATGTTGTAGGACTGTCTTGGCTGACACGTCTCTGCAACATAGCGTGGCGATCGGGGGCGGTGCCAATGGAGTGGCAGACCGGGGTGGTGGTCCCTCTCTACAAGAAGGGGGACCGGAGGGTGTGTTCCAATTATCGTGGGATCACACTCCTCAGCCTCCCCGGTAAGGTCTACTCCAAGGTACTGGAGAGGAGGCTACGGCCGAGGGTCGAATCTTGGATTCAGGAGGAGCAGTGTGGTTTTCGTCCCGGTCGCGGAACACTGGACCAGCTCTATACTCTCCATCGGATACTCGAGGGTTTATGGGAGTTTGCCCAACCTGTCCACATGTGCTTTGTGGATTTGGAGAAGGCGTTCGACTGTGTTCCCCCGGGGTGTCCTTTGGGGGGTTCTCCGAGAGTATGGGGTCGGAGGTCCTCTGCTGAGGGCCATCCGATCCCTGTATGACCGGAGCCAGAGCTGTGTTCGCATTGCCGGCAGTAAGTCAGACCTGTTCCCGGTGAATGTTGGCCTCCGACAGGGCTGCCCTTTGTCACCGGTTCTGTTCACTGTGTTTATGGACAGAATTTCTAGGCGCAGTCAGGGGTCGGAGGGGGTCCGGTTCGGAGACCATAGGATTTCATCTCTGCTGTTTGCAGACGATGTTGTCCTGTTGGCTCCAACGAACCAGGACCTGCAGCATGCACTGGGGCGTTTTGCAGCCGAGTGTAAAGCGGCTGGGATGAGAATCAGCACCTCCAAATCCGAGGCCATGGTGCTCGACCGGAAAAAGGTGCCTTGCCCTCTACAGGTGGGTGGAGAGGTCCTTCCTCAAGTGGAGGAGTTCAAGTATCTCGGGGTCTTGTTCACGAGTGAGGGAAGAATGGAGCGTGAGATTGACAGGCGGATCGGTGCAGCGTGCGCAGTGATGCGATCGCTGTATCGGACCGTTGTGGTAAAGAGGGAGCTGAGCCGAAAGGCAAAGCTTTCGATTTACCGGTCAATCTTCGTTCCCTCCCTCACCTATGGTCATGAGCTTTGGGTAATGACCGAAAGAACGAGATCGCGGATACAAGCGGTCGAAATGAGCTTTCTCCGCAGAGTGGCTGGGCGCTCCCTTAGAGATAGGGTGAGGAGCTCAGTCACACGGGAGGAGCTCGGAGTAGAGCCGCTGCTTCTCGAGAGGAACCAGTTGAGGTGCATCGTTCCGGATGCCTCATGGACGCCTCCCTGGGGAGGTGCTCCGGGCACGTCCCACCGGGAGCAGGCCCCGGGGAAGACCTAGGACACGCTGGAGGGACTATGTCTCTCAGCTGGCCTGGGAACGCCTTGGGGTCCCCCCGGACGAGCTGGAGGAAGTGTGTGTGGATAGGGAAGTCTGGGCGTCTCTGCTTAGACTGCTGCCCCCGCGACCCGGCAACGGATAAAGCGTAAGAAAATGGATGGATGGATGGATGGTATTACTAGTTTACAGCTGTCCCACCTATGGGCACAGGGGGCGTCTGTGGTACTGCACACTAAATTCACGAGGGCTACCCAGAAAAAAGTCCCATAGAACTCAATGTAAATTAAAACAGCTGGACCTCAGCTGTTAGAGAACCTGACAGAGAACCTACAGCTTTCAGAAATATCGGATATTGTGGGGATTTTTGTGTCCCTTGTCATCCTGAACTTTTGTTCTTCTTAAGTCCTTCTGTTTTCTTTAAATGCACTCTTAACTGCCACAAACTCTGCTCCTTTCCTTCCCGCTCTGACTCCGCTCTGCTGCTGCTCTGATCGGTCAGAGCGCGGCCAAGCCCCTCTGTGCGCGTGCATGAAAGCCACACATGCGTATTTGGCCCAACGCGTCATGGGAGCTCGTCCACTGCAATCAACCAAAAGGACTGGGAGCCGTCCAAGTACTCCCGAATTCGCAGTGAACACTTTTTACAAGATAAATCAATCACATTTTTGTATTTAATTTCTTTCAATTAATTTATTTGGAGGAAACTGACACAACAAACGCTTGTCCTTACTACTGTGTTGTATGTGCGCTGCAAGATTGAAATTTCCTCACTGTGGCACGAATAAAGGATCTCTTATCTTATCTTAGACGTCAGTTGCGTTTTTCACTATTTTCCTCTCTGTCAATATGCATCATGTTTGGCTGTAGACAGGAAAGTGGACTATTGCTAATGTGCTAATACTACAAGCAAAAATTACATTTAAATCTGCTCCAGTGTAAGGGGATGTATTGTTAACGATATAATGAAAAAGATCATGTGGAGTGAATACAGGAAAAAATTGACATTTCTTGTAATCAATAAAATTGACTGGGGGGAGAAGGTACAGGTCAACATCCAGTTCGGCGATCCTTGAATACCGCTCTTTGTGATCCCTGAGAAGATGTCCTACTTTCACCGATAACATGTGTGTCCTTAGGCAAGACACTTTACCCCCATTGCCTAGAATGAGTCTGTTGTATGGTCGGATGGCACATACTGGTTGCCTCGCTTCTGTCAGTGTGCCCCAGGGCAGCTGTGGCTACAGTAGTAGTTTATCACCACCGTGTATGGAGTGAATGAATAATGACAAGGAAAGCGTCTTTGAGTGTCCAAAAAAGCACTGTATAAAACCAATGCATTATTATTATCAATATAACCTTGGTCTGCTCATCCCTCCTTTGCCAGATAATTCCGTCATATCGAGTGTTTTCTTGAAGACTCTGTAAACTGCTTTGGCCTCCCTCTGCTTTGGGGTTCAAAACTCACCCTTAACAGTAATACTTCAAAGAAATTAATAAATACTCGATTCAAAGAAAAACGTTAATATCTCAAAAACCAAAGTAGCACAAACAAAACTATTTTTTTCTGCACAAACGTAGCACAAACAAATTATATAGTTTTTTGCACATCAATGAGGGGAAAATTTCACAGAGATCAAGTATGCTCGCGGAAAGTAGCATGAATGCACATCAGGAACAAGGCAGAGGCTCCTGCTGCTTCTGTAAAGTCTATGGAGAATTTTAGTGGACAGAAAAAGCCCTTCTGATATGAGCTCAATGCATTTTGGTTAAAAGCCGCTCCAATGGCTCCTCTCAAGTTTGTTGCGTTGGCTTGGCGAAAATTTTTACACACACCCCAGTGCCCTACAACGTGTGCACAATCCCCTGTGCGAGCCGCTGCCCTTGCCTTGCCGTTCCAAAACACGTTCTCCGCAATGGCAAATGAGCAACACATCCTACCTATGAGTTGCTCTCTGAAAAGAAAGCTCAGGTCAACGCGAGATATTTGTTTAAAAGAAGTAGTATCCAATCCAATCCACTTTATTTATATAGCACATTTCATAAACAGTTTACAAAGTGCTGCACAATAAAATACCAATTAAAACAAATCCATATTAAAACAGTAAAATAATACAAAATCAAATATGAAAAACCGTGTGTGCAAATGTGTATAAATATAAAAATAACAATAAAAATATGAAATAAAATAAAATAAAAATAATTAATACAACTTGCGCAGTGTCAAAAGCCAGAGCATAAAAATGGGTCTCAAGACGAGACTTAAAACACTCCGCTGAAGGAGCAGTTTGGATATGGGGGGCAGAGCGTTCCAGAGCTTTGGTCCAGCCACAGAGGCCCTATCCCCCCGGGTTTAAATCTCGTCCAGCAACAGAGAAGGCCCTGTCCCCTCGGGTTTTAAGTCTCGTCCTTGGTACCACAAGCTGGAGCTGGCCCTCGGACCTCAGCACGCGGGGCGGGTGGTAAAAGTAGTAATAATAATGCATAGGTTTTATATAACGCTTTTTTGGACACTCCACTTTACATGTCATTATTTTTTCACTCCATACACAGTGTTGATAAACTACTACTGTAGCCACAGCTGCCCTGGGGCACACTGACAGAAGCAAGGCACCAGTATGTGCCATCGGCCCCTCCGACGACCATCAACCAACACAAACTAGACTCATTCTAGGCAATGGGGGTGAAGTGTCTTGCCTAAGGACACAACGGTAGTTTGGCACTTTACAGCGGCAGCCGCCCCACTGTGGGATCTGGTTTTCCCAGAGTTAAGTGTCTTGCCAAGGACACAACAACAGCAGACATCAGTGGGCTTTGGTGGAGAAATACTTGTTGTGGGTTAGAACCCACGACCAACTGAGCTATTGTCGCCTTAAGTGATCACTGATTTTTTTATTTTTTAAATCAGAGAAGTTATGGCACAAACTAACAGAATGAAAAATAAACCCGGCCGTTACATTATGTATGTAGTTGTTACCTGGGTGTATGCTCCCAGGATGTTACGGGACTCCTGATACAGCATCTCACTGTCCCACTGGGGATTTATCCTCTTCAGAGCTCGAGCAACTCTATTGTGATCTCCTGAGAATAGTGTGTGAAGTGAAGTCAGAGCTATGTTCTCGTCCACTTGCACTTCACCTTAAAACAACAAGATTCTGTAATCCTCAGTTACTGTGGAGATATATAGAACACTAAGACTAAACTTACCTGCGATGAAGCAGGGCACCTCCTTGGCATTGGTGTCATTAGTGATTCGTTTACGTGTGGCGCACATGTTCATCTCCAGGCCGGTGAAAGACATCATGCAGGAACAAGGCAAGCTTCTCCTTTGAGCCGTACACTTGACCCAAGTCCAGGAAAGCAGTCATAGCATTCATTTGCTCTCTCTTTTTGGGCTCACCACCAAAGTTATAGGCTGAAAACCCTGTTCCACATGTACGGGCTGATCTGAAAGCTGGAATACAGCTGTCTTTCCCGGTGGGTATGTGTGGGTCACATGGAGGAATCTGAGAAAGACAACATACTGTTCAATATGATATTTATGGACTGTAAAGGTTGTTCTGAAGTAGGTAAGCTTATACCGCAGTTGATTCCGTTGCTGTATGAACTAATGCTCGGAGAGAATGGGGTAAAAGTCAAGTCATGATCATTCCATTGGCCAAACAAGGTGACCATATGTGTGAGCTCTCTGTCATTGATCACACCTGCATCTGTTGTAGCCAAAATGTTGTTGGATACCTGTCTGACCTGCATAAAAGCTGTGTTAGGCATGGTTCATATGTCTAACACAGCTTTTAAGTTCAAAGTGTTAGTTATCTTCATATAAATAACACATTGGGCATGTGTGTCACACCAATGGAAGCAGGAAGTTATTCATGTTCCTGTTGTTCCATCCTTTGGGTTGAGATATGCCATCATCGTACTCAGCTGGAAACCATCGAGTGAACGGAGTATTCGAAGCACCGAGACGAGGGCTTTGCCTAAGAACAAACACTCAATGGAATGAGCCTTAGGCATTTGTATCTTTATACATAACCCAATGTGACTCTAAATCTAAGAAGAAACTCTTCTTAGATTTAGTCATGTTACTTAAGACATAAAAGGAAGGCATGTCAACACATCTCACTTCAGCCACTTGTTTCATCAGAATAACATGAGTTGAAAAGGTTACATGGTTGTTCGTACTCACAAGTTGTTGCACACGCTGGTTGCGGTACGATATTTGTTCACATTTGGTGTTGTTCGACAGTTTGGCAGCCTGACTCTTGCTGCACATCCAGTGATTTCAACCAAACTTTTCAGCTCCTCCTCAGTGAGCAGATCTAAATAAACAGAAGACGATTGAATTCTAGTTACAATAATATAAAATAATAACATTGACTTGAACAGAGCAAAATCTGATGTGTAATTGAGCGGCAGACCTGTAGCGTTAAGAGAGCGCTTGTGAACATGATGTGTCCTTTCTTGCAGAAGCCGCAGCGTCTGGTCCAGGTAGTCTGCTGAGCGGACCCCAGAGCGAGTGTCTCCTCAAGGCTGTTTGAGCAGGCGCAATGCATCATGGGGCCTAACCACCTCTCGCCGGACTCTCGACAGACTCCATCTAGACAAAAGTAAGAACACAGTGACAAATAGTAAGACCGGCACTACCAAGTTTGGTTGTATGATATGATTTTTTGTTCAAATGGAAAGATGCTTTGTACCAGGTTAAAGCAGGAGTGCTAATATACACCTGTCTCTGAGCAGGTTGTTTGTAGTTTCTCATTGTCTATTTTGTGCAAATCCTGAACTAATATTTATAGACATTTTACGATAATCTATTACTTCTAAATATGAAATATTTCATACAATATGTAAGGGATAACGTATATTACGAGGGTCATTATCGGAAAATAAGTTCCGACATCCATATTTCGATCCTCTGCAAATGTGTCCGGTATCTTAAAATGTGCTGGTATCTACTTCCGGGTTTTTCTGGATCGCCTTTTCTCGCATTACATCAGTGTTTTTGTCATAAAAACGTAAACGGAAAATTAAGATTGTATATGTATAATGTATTCTCCGATTAACATTTCATTGCGTTGATTGATTGGCATTTGCGTTTATTGAGCTACTTTGCGGAGTTATCCATGCATCTGAAATACAAGCAAAGAGTGCGTTGCCATGGGCAGCGGTCATTATTGTTTTGAGAGGTCCGTTATAGAAAATAATGACCGGTAGAACGTTTTGAAATTACATTAAAATCAATGGAGCATTTTACTGCTGCTGTGAGGAGCCATATAATAACTTATTTTAGATAACATCTAACCTTTAATGTACACATCTTTTCTGATCCCCATCCATCCATCCATTTTCCTCCCATTAATCCATTTCTGGGTCGGGGGGTAGAGCTGCACCCAGTACACAGAGCACCAGCCCCTCACTGGACCTCCTATACTGTAGGTGGTGAGTCCACAAAAGCCTTGATCTTTCAGCTGGGCTCCAAGGAAAAGTGGGGTTAAGTATCTTGCCCAAGGACACAACGACAGCAGACATCAGGTGGACACGATGTCCATGATATTTATACTCGGCCCCTCAGGGTTCAGAAAGTCCTCCGGGTTCAGAAGACTTGGTCTTTAGGGTTCAGATAGCTCGATCCTCAGGGTTCATAATTCTCGGTCCCCCAGGTTTGGGCACTTTACTCTATTCATCAACACTCCTTTAAAGGTACACTGTGTAGTTTTTACTCCCATCTAGCGTCGAGATCATATATGCAGTCCTTGTGTACTACGGTGGCTTGGAAGGATAATATGTTGCCTTTGACAGTTGTCCCCAACTCCTGAACTTCGAACTGGGGCGCCAAGGAAAGAATATTTTAGTTGGATAAATGACCAGATCTCTCCTTATTTATGTCTTGTTCACTTGACACGGTAGCACTATAATGTAAACAAGCTAAAATGTAAACAGTCCACGTTTCTTAAAAAGGCCGTTGAAGCTAATGTGCCACCACTTCCGCCATCTATGGGCAGTTTTAAAATGGCCGTTGGGGCTGGAAAATGTGAATAAACGTAGTTGCGCATGCGTCAGCTGCACAAGCCCCATTCATTTGATGAGCCTTCAAAATTCAACAGCAACTAAACTAAACTGGTCCAAAAAAATACTCTCCCCTCAGCATTGACACAGATGTAGGATGTAGCTTTGGGCCAAAAGCCGACTTTGGACCATCCTGTAAAGTTGTTCTATAGGTATAAGAAGATGCTATACATTAGCATTGGGTAATTCTTGTTCCGGGTCCACCACCACAGGCCCGGGGTGGTATTGCAAGCATATCAGCTCGCGTCATTTTGGATATTTTCGAGCCGGGACCCACCACGAGACGTACTTCACCGACTCCCACTGATATTTACTATCAATGTGTCCTTGGACAAGGCACTTCACCCCACTTTGCCTGAAGTCCCCGCTCTCATCAAAAGAGCAGCCATCCTCCTGTGGACTCACCACCTGCAGGAGGATCAGTGAGGGTGCTCTGACTGCCACCCCCAACCCAGAAATGGATTAAAGGGAAGAAAATGGATGCATGGATGGAAGGTTTGCTATTGAAAGTAACACACTCACTCTTCTCTGGAGAACCTGTACGCCACATCCACAATCTCCTTTGCATCTTTATAACATTTCTTGAGTAAGGGACTAAGGAAATCTACAGCAAATGTTGAGATGATTCAAAATTTTACAAAATCTTTAAAGTAAATGGTTAGAATCACTTACCATTGGAGTTCAGTTTAACAGACACAATGCACAGGTTCAACACAAACAGAGCAGAGAGTGCACAAAATACTGGAGCGCACATGGGATAGTTGCATATCTTAGAATGTCAAGAGCTGTTTTAGTTCATATTATAATTACCTGTGTGGACAGCAGCCTCAGCCAACAGTGGATCTCAGAATGTGACGACAAACTGGGCCTGAGTTTAAATAGAGTCAGAGGCGTCACCCAGAGCCTTGTGCAGGTGATGCTTCCTCCTCCTTCCTCACTATGTCAGGGGCTTTGATGTGTTCGGCGACTCGCTTCCATCATCACCGTGTGTGTAATGATTGGAACAATATCTGAACTCTGAACATTGTAAAGCGCTTTGGATGACCTTGGTCTGTAAAATGCTCTATATAAATAATCATCACTTACTTACTTACACTGTAAAAGTGGTGAAGCATTATATTATTATAAAATACATATTGTAATATCTTAACAATTAATTATTGCTCCAGAGTTTTTGTATCTTTGTTGTATTTCATTTTGTACTTTGCCAATTGTTTTTTAATTTATGGAATAATGGAATATCTCATAAATGCAGTTGACATTGTATTACAGAGATTGATTTGTAAACAAAAGTAAGCCATAAATTCATAAGTAAACCGTAGGTGACAAGAGATAATAATTGAGGTGACTATATTTCAGCACCAAAACCGTTTGTCACAATAAAATGTATCATGCCAATGTGACTTTATGTGTCTTGTGGAGCACACTGTGCTTTGTGATAAGAAAAGATAAGAAATATTCACTCTGCAGTCTATTCAGCTTCAGCCCAGACAAGGGTGGGCATGGAGTCAGAAACTTTCCCCCGGTTCTTTGATCGCTACAAACCTACAGGCCGATTGAGGATTTGTAGCATGCTGTGAATCATGAGTCAAAAATATAGTAATCTCTTAGTTCTCTTTCCACCACTGTCTGCTGCACTTGTATAGTGTGGTCACAGCAACAATGTACTGAATTGGAGTAATTCTTTGGAGCTTATCTGTCATTCTCTGGAGCATAACTGATGTGAGCTGCGTGTTATTATGCGGCGTATACTCAATGTACTTTTACATTAATAGCAAAACTATTGCAACTTTATCAAAGGCTCTGGAGTGAAAGAGACACCATTTTGACACATCTTGGTAAAAAATTATATACATTTTGGTCAAATTTGATGAGAGGGGACGGGGGTGGATAGTAGGGGGGAGAAGGAGGGTAGAGCGAGGGATAGGGAGGTGTGGGGTATAGGGAGGGAGTGAAGAGTGGGGGTTCATAAAAACATTTAAAAAAGGAGAACCACATTTTTTTACATTCGGTAAAATGTATAAATTTTCTAACGTTCTCCTTAATAAATATTTAATTATAAAAAACTTGACGAGAGGCCAAGAGCCATTCTGATCTGCGACGCATTGTATTGGATTAATTGATCATAGTGTGTTTGTTTTTTTTAGGTCTGCGAGGTTCAATGCCACCCTTGTAGACAATGAACATATCTTTAAAAGACAGATACTTGTCTTTCAGTAAGCGGGGCGGCATTGTTTTGTTTTTAAATGCAAAAAGGGGGAAATTGGACTGTGATAAATGGGCCCCGCCCCCTGCTAAAACCTGTGAAGGGGAATACTGTGTTAAGTGGCGCTCAAACAGAAGACTGAGCACAGCAGGAGCCTCTGTGTGTACTTCAGGCCACCACAAGGACTTAGACACAGAACATCCAACTATTTTCTTTGATTTTTAAATGACCCCCCTGCACTAAAGTATAATCATACGTTTGAATTCACTGGCCATAAATGACTAAATTGCTACCACATTTTTCTATTTGAAGATTTTTATTATTATTTGTAGAAGAAAATACAGTAAGTGAAAGACACAACAGCTTGAATATTTTAGTAAGCAAGTAAAGCATCAGAAAAAGTACATTTATTTCTAATCAGTACAAAACATTCATAGTATGGGGTTTGCTTTGTCTGTATACAAAGGACAGATGTAACAGATCCAAACCATATACGTACTTAAAGTGTGTTAAAGTTTTTTTCTTCTTTTTTTTCCCAATTTAGTACAGTAAGTAAACAGAGAAGGCAGACAGTGGCTGCGTGAAATAATTGAGAGACGCTGAGGGTCCTGGGGGTCCTGTCAAGCCTCGAGGACCTGGACAAATACAAATGATGTCAGCTGGAATTAGAATTATAGTCAGTCGGCCTCTTCACACTGCAGACCCGTGTGAAGAACATCAGTGCAATGCAACTTACTGACCCCCTCACACTTAAAACTACGTTGTACTTCAGCTTTAACTGTAAATTATGTATCAGCGTGTGCTGCTATAAAAAAACAACAGGCTGCTCTGCACAAATTAGGCATTTACCAAATCAAGTGATTTATTCACCACCAACTTGCATAGTTTTGATCAGAATCAGAATAATTTTTATTGCCACGTCAGTAACAGGAGGTCACAGACTTGGAAATTGCTTTGGCTCGGTGCAACAGTCAGAGAGAGAGAATAAAAAATAAAGAATAAAAAACACTTTTAACTCATTCACTGCCGGCCATTTGTAAAGCAGCATCCCTCATACTGCCAGAGATTTTGGACATTTTTAGTGTTTTTCCAAACCGCATAGGAATGTGAGCCCTTGGTTGACACACGTATGAAACATACCAAATGAAAGCCGTATCCCTTGGCTTTCATTTAAAAAAAAAGTAAGTTTCTAACCCTTTTAGTTTTTTAGCAATTGAGAGTGCAACATAGGTAACTTTCACACGAAATGCTGTTTCCTGACCAAGATTTGGAGAAAACAGCCTTTTTGTGAAACGCACACTTTCAAGCAGAAAAGTGTTTTTTTTTCTTTACTGATATTTTACAATGTATCACAGTTTCTTACTATGACACAAAACGGAAACAATACTTTTAATTGTAATTTTAATGTATAATTATTAGTGCTGTCCAACGATTAAAATATTTAATTAAAAAAACCCATTTGCGTGCTGTGTGCAATTGCTTTTTTATTGAAAACAATGTGTAGTGTTATATTACACACTAACATTTGATGCAAAATCATCAATAAATGGATGACAAAATAAATAATTGGTAACAAAAAGCCCCTTCAATGTGTGTGTGGAGTGTGTGTGTTTATGGGTGTGGGTGTGTGTGTGTGTGTGTGTGTATGTGTGGGTATAGACCATAGACTGTATAGAAACATCATGGTGTCATTATGATGATGATAAACAATTTTTTTGTAAATTTGTTCATGTAAATACTCTATGCTGTTTCTCTGTTTACTTTCGGTATATCTATGACTGTATACTGTTTGCTTGTATTGCCTTTTTTATTAACCCCTCCCCCCCATCTCCCACTTCATGTCCCCCCCCTCCTATGTGCCCTTCTGGGTTTCTTCTTTGGCCCCCTGTATCTCCAACTACATATTGTTTGTAATCTCTGTCTACAATGTATCTTAACTAGTCCTTTTCTTTGTGTCTATTTTTTTCTGTATATGTGTTTGTCTGCAATAAAAAGTAAAAAAAAAAAAAAAAAATTTTTTTTTTAAAATAATTATTAAAAAAATTAATGGCGATAAAAAAAATGACGCCGTTAATATTGATTTGCGTTAACGCGTTAATAACGCGATATTTTGGACAGCACTAATAATTATTTTTAAACAAATTAAACGTGTACACACAATACACTCAAAGGATTGTCTTATGTACACATAAAATATTCAACTTGTATACAATAAAAACACTTTGTACACAAATATACAGTAAAAATAACACTTTCTGAACACTTTGTGAAACAATTTTACTTTAGTTTATAAAGAATAGTAATTAGGTGACCCCACACTCTGCTGAAGTGTGGGGTGGAATCTACTTCCTCCGCACTCCCTATACATTTCCAGATTCGTTTTTTTTACAAACCCAGTGAGAAATGTCAAACCAAAAAAGGTTTTTAGCAGCTAGACTGTCACTGGCTTCCATGCATTTTCTCTGCTGAATGGGAGACGCTGTGTGTGTGCACTGAAATATTGTGCTGCATACAGCTTTGTCTGTTCGACAACAAGATCCAGGATCCAGAAGTTCATCAGTTATGAAGAGCTGCAGAAGTCAGCTGGCTGATCCCAATCAAGCTCTGCTGCAGCATTTTGGGGTCCTGGGGTCAAAAATCTACAATACAAAGGAAAATATAAAATCACCATGCATTTCACATTATAACAAGTGTTTTGGCTTCAGCAGCTATGACATTGAGAAAAAAAACCCACTTCAATACTCGCTAAAAACGCTACTTTATGTTTTACTATAGTATACTGTAAGCCAGTGATTGCTATAGTCACTCCCTCCAGAATCTCTCAATGTTTGAACGCAAAATCACGCAGACTCCGGGATCAGAGCAACAGAGTCAGTCTCTATCCCCTTGTTCCAAAGCAGCAGCGGGCGCGCTCCTGACCTCCACAGTGAGACGCACCACAGCAGAATGCACAACATGGTGCGGTAAATCTAACACTTGTTGCTCATCATGGGTCCCGCTCACCGGTCTGCCATGGATCACCTTCCCCTGTCCCTTCTATAAACCACACGGTAACATCATCCATAGCTCCCTAACAGCTAATGCTGCATGCCAGACTCACACGCCTCCAAACTCATCAGGGAAACTTGGAAAAATGTCCCGCGTAATCAAGCATTTTACCCTGCAATAATCATAACAATTGCGTGCAAAATCCTGGAGGGGCTGTTATTACATTGGACAAAGGGGAGAAATAAACTCGTAAATACAACATGTTGAAGAGAAAAGCAACTTACCACATTACGACGGGGGGAGGAGCCGCTGCTGCTGCTGCTGCTGCTGGAGGAGGAGGGAGGGAGGCTCTGAGGATCCTGGAGTCTCATGTTAACTAAAACCTGAAGAACTAGCATCGTGGCATCTAGCTGCTTCATATTTATCCGTTTGATGACTGAACAGGCTCTCAAACAGCGTTAGCTTCGTGAGCTTTTCAGATCCACGGCCCTTTGTGTAAGCATGGCTGCTCCTCTGGCTGTTACCCGCTCACAGCACCACATGCCCCCTTCTCCCTCCCTGGATCTGGCCACAGTGTCACCTCTGCCCCCTACAGGATCGGTTCCTAAGTGTTTACAGGTCTGAAATGTTGACACAGGATGCACAAGAGCCTTGACAAGCCATAGAATGAAAAAAACGAAAAAAAAGCAATTGACGTCTATAGACGTCAGTGGCGGTGAATGAGTTAAAAGAGCTGATCACAGCCGAACCTGTCTCCTCTCTGTTCCGTCATATTATTATTCTTCCTAAATCTTTATCCATATCTTCGCGGCTGAATTGATATCGTTTTTGTGTTGGACAAACATGACAATAATACAAACATTGCATGTATTAACCAAAATTGTGCGGTAGAACTCTTATTATTTTTGTAATTGAAAATAATTACTGTATTTCATAAGATGAACAAATGCCCTAATGATAAAACAAGTTGCTGTCTAAATTATTGCTGTAGTTGGCTGCTGTGTTTACACAGTCGTTCTCAGCAAAACTCAGCAAAAATACATGGTCAAAGCAGGGTCATGGTTGAAAGCCGAGTAAAAATGACACAGCACCGTGGGGCAGCCAGTATGAACTGACCCAAGGTTTTTGGTAAGTGTGAAAATCCCTGTAATTGAATGTGGGTCATTTACAGTATATTATTCAATCTGTAACTGTGACCATCTGGGGTTGAATGTTTGAACAATGTCTTGTGACAGTACCTCGTTGTCCAGGGCCTGGAGGTCCGGGAGGTCCTTTGACACTGCAGAAGCGAGAAGTGTAACTTTATAACAATGTAATGTCAAGGGGTGAAAGGTTCTAAAAATGTGGCAGTAGTTTGTGTTATATAAAAAATCAGCTATCACCCGGCACTGCACACACATGTCATAGAGAGAGACACAATATTTTAGAGATTAGTAAATACACACACCATGCAGTTAACACACTAGATAAAAGTGAGTTTGATGTCCTACCTGAGCAGTCTCGCTCCCTCCAGGCTGTCAGGTCAACAGAAGACAAACTGTTGCACTGGACAAGACGGTTTGACCGGGACAGGACACTAAATGCATCCTGTGGTACGGTTGTGATCCCAGTGTTATCACAGATGACTCTAGAGAGGGTGACTCTGGACAGGGCAAGTCTCTGTCTCTTTGAGAACACTCCAGGGTTTTCATACCAAAGCCTGGAAATCACCAATATTGTTAAAGATATCATCAATTATTCAAAGCTTTTGGTTCAAAGGTTCAGACCTGTCTCCTTGTTGGATATTTTTGAACTGATTGGCAATAAGACATGCAAACAGAGGACCCACTCGGCCTCCACAAACAAATGGCTCTGAAACTCCTCCCAGCCAAACATCAATGTTTTCAGGTGTGCCATAGAGATCCAACAGCTTTCGGGCAAGCTCTGTGTTGTTCATCACTTGAGCCAATTCAGCCTGGTTTCTGGGAGCAGACAGACCACAGAACCTACGCCAAGCATTGTATCCTGAAACAAAAATATGTGTATACATGAGAATACATGTTTTTACTATTTGGCAGAATCTTAAAATCAATTAATTTATGTTCAAGGACCGCCTGGTAAGGCACAGTTGCGCCCCACCCTGGAGCAAGGCCTAGGTTTGGGGCTTGTGTGTGTGCCTGGTTCCTGGGCTTTTGCCCACAGTGTTCAGCCAAGCTCAGCCCATAAGAACATGGGCCCTTCCTGAAGGGGTGGGGTGCAGAGAAGATGGTTGAAGTCTCTGAATGTTGTTGGACTTGGCTGACACGTCTTTGATCTGGGACCGCAACAGAGTGAAAGACTGGCGGACCCAGTCTTCCTTTGTCACCGGTTCTGTTCACTGTTTCACGGACAGAGTTAATCCTGAGCAAGAGGGAGTTCTGTTTGAGGACCACAGGTCATTTCAGCTGTTTGCAGATGACAATGTCTTATTTGCTACAACAAACCAGGTCAACAGGTGTAAAGAGGTTGGGATGAGGATGCGCACCTCCAAGCAACAGTCTGTGGCCAGAGCTGTATTAGACTGTAGTGCAGGGGTGTCCAAACCGGTCCAGAAAGGGCCGCTGTGGTTGTAGGTTTTCTATCAGACCCAACAGGAGCAGAGCAGACTCCACCCATTTCCCCAAGTGAGTTCAGTCTTAACCTAAAGATTTGAGGAAATGGGTGGAGTCTACTCTACACCGCTGCTGGGTCTGAAAACCTGCAGGCACAGCGGCCGTTTTTGGACAGGTTTGGACACCCATGCTGTAGTGGTAAAGAGGGAGAGGAATCGAAAGTCAAAGCGCCCTTGATTTCCCGCTCAGTCTATGTCCCTCCCTCACTTATAGTCATGAGCTTTGGGTAATGACTCGAAGGATGAAATCACAGATCCCCCACAGAGTGAAACTTACTTGGAGATAGAGGGAGGAGCTCAAATTAGGTTTGCTTTTCCATATCAAGATGAGCCTGTTGAGGAGGCTCAGGCATCTGTTTGATATACCTCCTGGACACCTCCTAGGGGAGGTGTTCACTGCATGTCCAAACAAGAGGAGACCAGAGGAAGGAGCCTGAAGGGACTATGTCTCTCAGCTGTCCTGGGAACACTTCAGGATATCCCTGGATAAGCTGGAGGGAGTGGGAGTGGAGAGGGAAGTCTGGGCGTCTGCTCAGGCTGCTGCCTCCATGACCCACCAATGGATAAAACGGTAGAAAAATGGGGTCAATAGATGGAAGCAGTGTGATGTACCTGGCAAGCCATGTTCACGGCCTCGCTGCATGTTCAGAGAGCCCAGGTCCAAAGCCAGATGCTGAACAAACTGAAACAGTCTTTCCCTCAAAGCGTCCACCATCATGTGATCCTGAGTGTTCAGTTTGGCTGGAAAACTGATTAAACCACGAATCAGTGGATCCACACCACCTGAACAACAACAACTGTCAGAATGAAAACATCAAGTTAACTGAAGGTATTGATATTGACTTTACCCTCAAAGACGATACGCCATGGAGTGAAGAAGGCCCTGTACAGGGACACACTGGGAAACTTGGGGTGCTCCCTGTAGTTTGCATCCAGACGAGTAAACATGGGTTGGATGGCTAAATGTGCAAAGCGATAGGCAGCTGTGGCAAAAACATTGGACACACTGGGGTCAACTTTGGGATTGTAGCCAGGGTACCGTCCAAGGAGCCTGTGCATAGCGTCAGGACCAACGATATGGGGGAGGTAGTCCCTGAATACAAATATCTAAAACAAAATAGTTTCAGGTTGATAAAATCTAAACCGGAAAATATAAATTCCAATTGAGGAATACATACTTGTGTGTATGCTCCCAGGATTTTACGGGACTCCTGATACAGCGTCTCACTGTCCCACTGGGGATTTATCCTCTTCAGAGCTCGAGCTACACGGTTGTGCTCTCTCAAGAAAAGTGTGTGAAGTGAAGTCAGAGCTATGGTCGCATCCACTCGCACGTCACCTTAAAACAACAAAATTCTGTAATCCTCAGTTACTGTAGAGATGTATAGAACACTAAGACTAAACTTACCTGCCATGAAGCAGGGCACCTCCTTGGCATTGGTGTCATTAGTGATTCGTTTACGTGTGGCGCACATGTTCATCTCCAGGCCGGTGAAAGGCAGCAGTTCTCTGCCATTATCTCTAAACTCAGTGTTGACCCGCATCAGCCCTCCTTCATTTTCTGTATCACGCAGGAACAAGGCAAGCTTCTCCTCTGAGCCGTACACTTGACCCAAGTCCAGGAAAGCAGTCAGAGCATTCATTTGCTCTCTCTTTTTGGGCTCACCACCAAAGTTATAGGCTGAAAACCCTGTTCCACATGTCGAGGCTGATCTGAAAGATGGAATACAGCTGTCTTTCCCAGTGGGCAGGCGTGGGTCACCTGGAGGTATCTGAGAAAGACAACATCCTGTTCAATATGACCTTCATAGACTGTGTCAATTTGAAGCTTATACCGCGATGGGGATGCAGGGCTCAGTACGCTCACAGCTCTCGTCACAGTTGATTCCGTTGCTGAATGAGCGAATGCTTGGAGAGGATGGGGTGAAAGTCAAGTCATGATCAGTCCATTGGCCAAACAAGGTGACCATATGAGTGTACTCTGTGTCATTGACCACTCCTGCATCTGTTGTAGCCAAAATGTTGTTGGATACCTGTCTGACCTGCATAAAAGCATATAAGTGTTAGGCATGGTTCATATAAATAACACATTGGGCATGTGTGTCACACCAATGGAAGCAGGAAGTTATTAATTGTCCGGTTGTTCCATCCTTTGGGTTGAGATATGCCATCATCGTACTCAGCTGGAAGCCATCGAGTGAATGGAGAATTCAAAGCACCGAGACGAGGGCTTTTCCTAAGAACAAACACTCAATGGAATAAGGCTTAGCCTTTATGAACTCATACATACTAGTTACATACCAGGTATGCACCGATACGATACTGGTATTGGGTATCGTTCAATAATGAGGCTTGTACTCATATCATAGAGCCCGATCCGGGCAACCGATTCCCACATTATGAAATTGCATTAGTGTCACGACAGCAGACATCCATCTGTGTGGTACGTGTTGCCATGGTGATCTCCTAAAGTCTGCTGCGAGAAAGCGTTTGCCGCTAGCTTAACGGCAAGCTGGCAGATAGCAGATGTCGGCCAAATTGCAGTTTTTAAAACTAAACAAGGGACGAGAGTAAAGCGAACTGTACGTTGTATAAGGCATTTTTGTTGAAATGAGAATTAAAAGATTTTACATTTCAGTTGTACGGAAATAGGATACCACTATGAAATTCTTATAAATCTAAGAACAAACTCAATCTGTAGTCATTATACTTGAGACAGGGCGACAGTGGCTTAGTTGTTAGAGTATTGGCCTTTGAGCCTTAATGTCTTAGGTTCGAGCCCACCACGAAACCTTTTCCACTGACTCCGCTGATGTCTGCTGTTGTTGTGTCCTTGGGAACACCAGGTGCCACAGCGGGGCGGCTGTAAAGTGCCACAGCGGGGCGCCTGCGGATGTATACTTCCAAACTGCTGTAGTGTCCGTAGGCAAGACACTTCACCCACATTGCCTTCAACAGGGATGTCAAAGTCAAATACATCAGAGGGTCAAAACAACTAACATTCTACAAGCCGAGGGCCGGACTGGTTCAGTGTTTATTAAAACATATTAAGATGATTGCATGTAATTGAACCTAGACCTAACACACTGTGCCATCCATCCATCCATTTTCTTCCCCTTAATCCAATTCTGGGTTGGGGGCTGGCAGTCAGAGCTATGTATACATAGCACCAGCCCCTCTCTGATCCTCCTGCAGGTGGTGAGTCCACACGAGCCTTGATCTTCCAGCAGGGGCATTGAGAAAAGTGGGGTTAAGTGTCTTGCCCAAGGACACAACGACAGCAGTCATCAGTGGGAATTGTGAAGTAGGTCTCATGGTGGATTCGAACCTACGACCTTCAGGCCCAAAGGCCGATGCTCTACCAACAAATTAATAATCTAATATTTTCTTATGGCTCTTTGCGGCCGGTTCTAATACTAATCAAAAATCATTCCAGGAGCCAAAATAATTTCTTCGCAGGCCGGATCTGGCCCCTGGGCCTTGACTTTGACACGTATGGCCTAGAAAGAGTTTGGTACTGTATGTGATTGAATGGTTGGTGGTGGTTGGAGGGGCCGATGGCACATACTGGTTCACTGTTCCCCAGGGCAGCTGTGGCTGCAGTAGTAGTTTTTCAACATCGTGAATGAATAATGACACGTAAAGTGTCTTTGAGTGTCCAAAAAAGCGCTATATAAAACTGATTAAATATTATTATTCTTAATGTCAACACATCTCACTTCAGCCACTTGTTTCATAACATGAGTTGAAAAGGTTACATGGTTGTTCGTACTCACAGGTTGTTGCACACGCCGGTTGCGGTACGATATTTGTTCACATTTGGTGTTGTTCGACAGTTTGGCAGCCTGACTCTTGCTGCACATCCAGTGATTTCAACCAAACTTTTCAGCTCCTCCTCAGTGAGCAGATCTAAATAAACAGAAGACGATTGAATTCTAGTTACAATGATATAAAATAATAACATTGACTTGAACAGAGCAAAATCTGATGTGTAATTGAGCGGCAGACCTGTAGCGTTAAGAGAGCGCTTGTGAACATGATGTGTCCTTTCTTGCAGAAGCCGCAGCGTCTGGTCCAGGTAGTCTGCTGAGCGGACCGCAGAGCGAGTGTCTCCTCGAGGCTGATTGAGCAGGCGCAATGCATCATGGGGCCTCACCACCTCTCGCCGAACTCTCGTCAGACTCCTTCAAGACAAATGTAAGAACACAGTGACAAATAGTAAGACCGGCACTACCAAGTTTGGTTGTATGATATGATTTTTTGTTCAAATGGAAAGATGCTTTGTACCAGGTTAAAGCAGGCGTGCTAATATACACCTGTCTCTGAGCAGGTTGTTTGTAGTTTCTCATTGTCTATTTTGTAAGTGCAAATCCTGAACTCATATTTATAAATATTTTACAATAATCTATTACTTCTAAATATGAAATATTTCATTCAATATTTAATTTTAGATAACATCTAACTTTTAATGTACATATCTTTTCTGATCCCCATCCATCCATCCATTTTCCTCCCATTAATCCATTTCTGGGTCGGGGGGTAGAGCTGCACCCAGTACACAGAGCACCAGCCCCTCACTGATCCTCCTGCAGGTGGTGAGTCCACAAGAGCCTTGATCTTTCAGCGGGGCTTCAGGTAAAGTGGGGTTGAAGGACAACTCACCCTCAAGTACACTTTTTTTTGCTGATAAACGGTATGAATGAGTGTCCAATAGTGTTGTGTACATATCCTGGTCATAATTTTGTCACTTTGGTGCAAAGTAGTTGAAAGCTCAACTTTCTGTATTACCTGTATTACTACATTTGAATTTTGAATCTGCCGCCATCATTGGCGCAGCAGAGGCCGCAGTGGCTCGTTACGTCAGCTGCCCCGCCGCTCGTTCACGCCCCCGTAGCGTGTTGGAGAAGGAACAACAGCGAGTATTTTCATCGAGGTTTGCGATTAGTCATAGCATTTAGGTAGATTTTTATTAGCATAGCGGTTGATAATTGTGTAGTGTTAATGGCGTTGTTGAATATTGTGGTTTTAGTCAAGTGTCAATCACAGCCTAGACCCGTCCAACATTCACCCCCCCCGCCTGTCCCCTTTAGTCCTCCAGGCTACCTCCATTTGGAGGAAGATTTGAACAGGAAATGTGAGTGACGTAAGCCTCGAGAAGCAGGGGTGAGAAGTTCTTTATGTATCTTGCCCACAACAACAGCAGACATCAGGTGGACACGATGTCCATGATATTTGTACTCTGCCCCTCAGGGTTCAGAAGGTCCTCCGGGTTCAGAAGACTTGGTCTTTAGGGTTCAGATAGCTCGATCCTCAGGGTTCAGAAGGCTCGGCCTGTGTAGTTTTTTCACAGACCGAGCTTTTTCAGTTTTTTCTCCCATCTAGCGTTGAGATCATATGCAGTCCTTGTGTACTACGGTGGCTTGGAAGGATAATATGTTGTCTTTGACAGTAGTCCCCAACTCCTGAACTTCGAACTGGGGCGCCAAGGAAAGAATATTTTTGTTGGATAAATGACCAGATCTCTCCTTATTTATGTCTTGGTCACTTGACACGGTAGCATTATAATGTAAACAAGCTCAAATGTAAACATTCCACGTTTCAAACTTTTCAGGGCATAAATATTAGTAGATAAATATTCTTGGTTAACATGTCATTTAATTTGGAGCATGTGTAAAAGTTACACAGAGTACCTTTAAGGCCACAGGTGACAGTTGCTCAGTTAGTAGAGAATTGGTCTTTAGCCGCGTCTTCTCCAATAATGCAGGTTCACGGAGGTGCGCAATAAGTTTATTTTATTATTAAGCGGTACTTCCGCATTGGCGAACACACTCAAAGCAGTTGCATAAAGTCACGGGAGCATGACAACGCATATATTCACAAGCACTATGTCCCCCATTGTCAACCCTAGTTTAGTCCTGGATTAGTCCTGATGTAGCTCCTGTTTTGGCTGTTAACTATATGTTCAGTCTGCTCGCTCAGACCTCCAATGTCCCCGTGACCACTTTGCGGCTCTCTGATTGGTTGCTGCACGAACGTCCCGAGGAAAGGTTGGGCAAAGTAAATATCCTGTGGGCATCGATTTTCCGCTCCTGCTCCTCCCCTTTGACTTTCCCGCGCAGTCCGTGCGTCTCTACTGCACGGTCCGTGCTTGCTTGCCGAGAGGTCCATGCGTTGTGACGCTTGAACGCGTGTCACCATTGACTTTGCATTGAAAGCAGACGCAACGCATGATCCGGTCTGAACGCGGCTTTTGAGCCTGAAGGTCATGGTTTCGTAGCCTGGCTCTGCCAGACCCTTGTAGTTCCGCCATGCTCCACCAGAGGCGTTTGGCTGAACCACATGGGTCTGGTATCGACGCCATAGCGAACGCCTTCCCCAGATTATTTTTTAATCGACCAATCAAGATTTCCGGTGTTACGTGGGGTTTGCACTGCCTTCTCAAGCTTCTCTCATGCAGCAGCGAGAGGAATCCAAGATGGCGGACGCAAAGTCCGCGAATCTTTTTAAAAGAGTAAATACGATCGAATTAAGACACGGATGTCACTTTTAATGCAATTTGAGGCGAGATGTAGATGGTTCTATGTTGACTTACAGTGCCTTGCGAAAGTATTTGGCCCCCTTGAACCTTTCAACATTTCGCCACATTTCAGGCTTCAAACATAAAGATACAAAATTTAATTTTTTTGTCATGAATCAACAACAAATGGGACACAATCGTGAAGTGGAACGAAATTTATTGGATAATTTAAACTTTTTTAACAAATAAAAAACTGAAAAGTGGGGCGTGCAATATTATTCGGCCCCTTTACTTTCAGTGCAGCAAACTCAGTCCAGAAGTTCAGTGAGGATCTTTGAATGATCCAATGTTATCCTAAATGACTGATGATGATAAATAGAATGCACTTGTGTGTAATCAAGTCTCCGTATAAATGCACCTGCTCTTTGATAGTCTCAGGGTTCTGTTTAAAGCGCAGAGAGAACCATGAAGACAAAGGAACACACCAGGCAGGTCCGAGATACTGTTGTGGAGAAGTTTAAAGCCGGATTTGGATACAAAAAGATTTCCCAAGCTTTAAACATCTGAAGGAGCACTGTGCAAGCAATTATATTGAAATGGAAGGAGTATCAGACCACTGCAAATCTACCAAGACCCGGCCTTCCCTCCAAACTTTCATCTCAAACAAGGAGAAGACTGATCAGAGATGCAGCCAAGAGGCCCATGATCACTCTGGATGAACTGCAGATAACTACAGCTGAGGTGGGAGAGTCTGTCCATAGGACAACAATCAGTTGTGTACTGCACAAATCTGGCCTTTATGGAAGAATGGCAAGAAGAAAGCCATTTCTCAAAGATATCCATAAAAAGTCTCGTTTAAAGTTTGCCACAAGCCACCTGGGAGACACACCAAACATGTGGAAGAAGGTGCTCTGGTCAGATGAAACCAAAATCGAACTTTTTGGCCACAATGCAAAACGATATGTTTGGCGTAAAAGCAACACAGCTCATCACCCTGAACACACCATCCCCACTGTCAAACATGGTGGTGGCAGCATCATGCTTTGGGCCTGCTTTTCTTCAGCAGGGACAGGGAAGATGGCTAAAATTGATGGGAAGATGGATGGAGCCAAATCAGGACCATTCTGGAAGAAAACCTGTTGGAGTCTGCAAAAGACCTGAGACTGGGACGGAGATTTATCTTCCAACAGGACAATGATCCAAAACATAAAGCCAAATCTACAATGGAATGGTTCACAAATAGACGTATCCAGGTGTTAGAATGGCCAAGTCAAAGTCCAGACCTGAATCCAATCGAGAATCTGTGGAAAGAGCTGAAGACTGCTGTTCACAAACGCTCTCCATCCAACCTCACTGAGCTCGAGCTGTTTTGCAAGGAAGAATGGGAAAGAATTCCAGTCTCTCGATGTGCAAAACTGATAGAGACATACCCCAAGCGACTTGCAGCTGTAATTGCAGCAAAAGGTGGCGCTACAAAGTATTAGCGCAAGGGGGCCGAATAATATTGCACGCCCCACTTTTCAGTTTTTTATTTGTTAAATTTTTTTTAATTATCCAATAAATTTTGTTCCACTTCACGATTGTGTCCCACTTGTTGTTGATTCTTGACAAAAAATTAGATTTTTATATCTTTATGTTTGAAGCCTGAAATGTGGCGAAAGGTTCAAGGGGCCGAATACTTTCGCAAGGCACTGTATGTGTGTTTTAAGAGTCAAATGTTCCTGTAAAGTTTGGTTGAAGCACTGGTTCAGTGTTCCTGTTTACACACTATGCAGCAGGGTTGCCAGGTTTCGTGGTTCCCGCATATTTTTTTCCAAGAGACTAGGTATTAAATAAACAGAAAGACAATAAACAGAATCATGATTGCTGATTGATTACATTACGTTTTTAGCCAAAAAATCATTCTGAGTGTTTTTTTTGGGGGGTATATTGGGTTGGAAAATCTTGCTGGGATTTGGCAACCTATCGGAGCCCTGTGCTTCGATGTGAGTGGTTGAAAGCAGACTTCATTCAAGATAACGGACAAGTGGTCTATCCAATCACATACAAGGATTTTTTTTTACAAGGCCCTGCCTTCTGAAATCCAACCACTATGGCTCAGTACCAGACTCATGTGTGAAGTGCAGCGAACTACATGGGTCTGGCCAGAGTCAGGCTAATGGTTTCAAGCCATTGACTGTAAACATTAACGGACGTAGTCACGCCTATCTCCGCCGTTGAAACTAATGTGCCACCACTTTCGGCATCTATGGGCAGTTTCAAAATGGTCGCTGGGGCTGGAAAAGATGCTATACATTAGCATAGGGTAACTCTTGTTCCGGGTCCACCACACAGGCCTGGGGTGGTATTACAAGCATGTCAGCTCTCGTCATTTTGGCTATTTTTGAGCCAGGACCCACCAAGAGACGTACTTCACCGACTCCCACTGATATTTACTGTCAATGGGCCTCATTCACAAACGGTTCTTAGGAACAGATTTGTACGTAAATCCTACTTACGCGGTTTTTACGAAGAAAGTGGCATTCACGAATATTTCTCGTAACCAGAATTTCTCTTGGGCAAGTACAAATCCTACGAGTCCTCAGGAGCACTCGTACGCATTCAGTGCCGACATGTTCACACGCCGGGGTTGTCCTCTTTGGTGAAGTTTAATAAAAATACAACATT